ATGACAAAAAAGTTCAAAAAAGAAAAAGATAGTTATTAATTAAATTTATAAAATTATATATGTATTTATGCTCAAAGGTGGCCCATCCTGAGCTTCGTGTCATAATTTTTTTACTTTTTTTTTTTTTAAAATTTAAAGAGTAAAATTTTTCCCCATTATCTCCTTCGCCATCTCCATCTCTTCTCTATCTTCCAAATCTCTCTCTCTCTCTCTCTCTCATCTCTAGGGTTTTTAATTAATTCACCAACTACTCCTCCTCTTTAGCATGGACTCTATATATGGACCAGTGTCAACACAATCTCCATTATCCAAACCTCTGGCCAGTCAATTTAAAAACTAAATTTTCAAAGAAAAAATTCAAATCCCAAATTGTTGGATCTTTCTGTCATTATTATTAAAAAAATAATAATACATTCAACCGAAGCTTTGTTAATTGTGACACATACCTTAGGGTTAGGGATACGAGTTGCTCTGTCCACCTCCATCCGGTATTGCAATCCTGCTTCATCTTCCTCCTTGTAGAGGGCCACTACATCACCGACATTCAAGTGGTTCCCGCGAAGAAAGGGAATCCAACCCTTAGAGAGAACAGGTTTTTTTAACCCCTGTTTCCTAGTGCTGCATACCATCGGCCAAACCCTTCCCTCGTACAAAACGTTCAAGCATAAAAAGTGGCCTCCATTGAAATCTGGAAAGAATTCGAGACTCTTTGTTGGGATAGCCAGCCTTCTGGTGATGTCAGTAAGCTTCAAAGTTTTCTTAAAGAGCATGATTGGATGAGGCATGGTGGTAAAATTGTGGGAATTTTCAATTCTGATTCTAAAGAGAAGAAAAAGTAAAGTAGGGGAGATTGAAGATGCTTTGGTGAATGAAGTAGGGGCCGGTATGGCCGGTACGTACCGGATTTTTCATTGCACCGAAACGGTATAAAGCTTAATTTCGTTTCGGTCAAATTTCGCTCATTTCGGTCAAATCTCAGTATTCCGGCGTACCGGCGGTGTTGACAACCACTTCAGATTTTTTTGAAGAAGAGAGATCCTCCCTTTCTGGTGGCTGCCGAACCCCTCTGCTTACCGGTGATGAAGGTGGAGGCAGTGATGATGATGAGACGCAAGAAGATGTCAAGGTCAGAGTCCCAAGGGGCTTCCGGCTAGATATATATCGTCTTCTCTTCTTGGTGATTGGTGAGATGAGCATGACGATTAGCTAGCAAGAGGATGGTGAAGGTCGGAGGTGAAGGAACAGGGGTGATGGTGGCCGTCGCAGATCTGCGAAAGGGAGAAGGGAGAAAAATCGAGAGGCTTTCTGGTTTTTTTTTTTTTTGGTCTGCCGTTTCTTTCACACTTTAAAAGAGGGAAACTAGGGTTTCTTTTATTGTTAAATTTGGGTTTTGATGGGCTGGGCTATGAAAATTGTTGGTGGGCTCAATATTGGGGTGGATTTGTGGATTTGTTTTGGTAGATTTCATCCTCAACTTTTTATTTTTTCGATTGAGTCCTTTTCTTGTTATTTTTCTTGAATTTCTTCACAAAAATTTTATATACCGATAAATCCAAAACGATACACAAAAAATTTCGATACCCGGTACGTACCGTTCCAATAGCAAAACCGATACGTATACCGGTACGGTATTAATAACTTTGATCTACATGTGAAGGATCATGTTTAACCCTATGATTATGTTCAGGTTGAAAATTCAACCATAATGGGCCATCTTTCTTGGGGGCAATTGTTCTCTGGGATCTGGTAAAAGATCCATCTTTTCTTCTACGTAATTTAGTGCCATAAGGGACCCATCAATTACAAAGGAAAGATGAAGAGAACCAATTGGACGTGGGGAGGGATCAAGTAATATTGCAGAGATTAAAGCGAGAGTACTCAATTTTGCAGAGTACCTACGACGTGTAAAGCGGAGAATTGCTATAATTATAAAAAAAAGTATAGTGTAATTTAAATTATGTTGAATTGTATAATTTAAATAATTAGATAAAAAAATGAGCTATTTACATTGAATATTATATTTTCATTGCATGATTTTTACTTTATAGTTAGTACAGTCTAAATATAACAAATAACTCATATAATTAAATCTCATTATTCGGCCAATTATGAATAGGAAATAGTTGAATTTGTGGACAGGGGAACTAATTTGGAAGTAAACCCTCCCTTAACCCTCTTGTGGCAGCTTGGGCCCACCACGTCGACCATACCCAACCCAAAATCGGACAAACATGAAATTGAGATCCTTTCGTTGGGCCTGATGTGAAGGCTTGGTTCTGACTTTCAGTTTCTGAGGCCTAATATCAAGCCCAATAATGATATTTTGTCGCCTAGCAAAATAATGATTAAATAATAAATAGGATCATCTTGGAACAAAAGAGTCCCAAAATAAAATACAAACTTGGGTTAGCTTCGGCCTAAAGAGGTCCCAAGTGTATTTTTATTCCTCTTCTTTTCTCTATTTTTCTTGAGCCAAATATATTGTAAATATATATTATTTTCAATTACATTTTGGTACTGGATTACATAATTTGACTTGAAATATGGATTACAAAACACTTTAATTACCATTATTATATGAATACTATTAATTAGTGGTTGTTTTTCTCTAACATAGCAAATTAAAAAAAATAAAATAAAAAGGGATTAAGCTGTAATTACAAAAGCATGACTCTATATGAGGATTCAGGATTTAAGAACTTAACTTAATTTGGTCAATCAACCCTTAGACTCCTTTAAAAAAAAAATTATCAAGGCATTTTTGGACTAATTTGTGTATAATTCGAGATTAGTCCCGTTTGAATCTAATCAAAAACAAGTTATTTGTATTGTGACTAGAAGAATGAGAAATTATCTCTTTGTGGCCTCCAATAAACAATTGATTAATAAAGTGAAAGACAAACCTTTTTATTAGAAAGTCACAACTCCTTAAATAATCATTAAACTCTTAAAACTAATTCAATTATTTTTTTAGTACATTTAAGGATGAATTACATAACAATAAATAAATCTTACTTTTTTGAATCCCTCCTCATCTGTCTTAAAATTATAACTCTTTCCTTTTCTTTTTTACATGTCTCAATTTCAAACTTAAATTTATAATTTAGTCTTAAGTTATTACCAAATAATTCCCTATGGGGGATATAATTCAATCATTAGTTGTTTCCAATGCGGTGAAGCATGCTTGTTGTGATTAATTTGACCCCCAAAATTATGGATCAGTTATTATTATTATTTTTTTTTTGTCCTCTCTAATGCATCGTGTCTGGGGTTGACCCTGTAAACAGCGTCTTTTTTTTTTCCTCTATAAATTGTCTTCTTCAACGCAACATATGTCTGGGGTTGACCCTGGAAACAATTTCTTTCTTTCTTTGTTCTTCCTTTAAAAAAAAAAAAAGAAAAAAAAAAAAGGAAAAATTGTCATCTTCAACGCAGCATATGTCTGGGGTTGACTCTGGAAACAATTTCTTTCTTTCTTTCTTTCTTTTTTTAACACGCAGCAAACAATTTAGCAGGTAGCAGTGCTCTGATAATCTGTTTGCATTGTAGCTCAATTTTGGGACAGGAACAAAAGAGGAGACTTTAAATATTTAGGTATTTTTTTAAGTTGTATCTTAAAAAGTATATGTTAGTTATGCAATTAATGTACTCTTTCAATATTAAATTGTATAAAGAAATATAAAAACTCATCTTAACTTTACCATTAATGTCGTGTATTTTAATAGGATTATTGATTAAATAAAAGTAATTTTTTTTATTTTTTAATATAAATTAATATAAAAATATGTTAATTACATTACTAGCATTCACTCTAACGGTAAACATTAGTAAAATCCAATATTTAATACCATATACAATAAAAAAATTCCGAATCATCAACTATGCATGGACAACATAAAAAGAGAAATGCATGTTGGGCAGCTGGTAGAGCAAGTGACTAAGCTAGACTTCCGTCCTGTACATGGCTACAGGTAAAGGGTTCTTGTGTGCGTTTATGTATTCGACTCGTTTCATGTTAAGCGAGACAATTTTACATTAAAATAACGAAATAAACATAAATTAAATATAAAATGAGTAATTTCACTAATCACCAAATGATTATAATTTGAATGCTCTTTTATATTTCAACTCATATGTCAAACTTTTCCTAGGTCATTCTTCTTTTTCCTAATCTCTCACTCAAATAAAATATTTTGGCCACTTCTATAATACTTTTTCAAGCTCCATATATCTATTTTTAGTCAAGTACTGTAAAAAGGAACAGAATTGAGCATGCCTAGTTCAACTTCCAAATGTTTTAGTTTTTTGATACTATTTATATTTTATAACTTTAAATTTTTCTTTTAAAAACTTACATTTTAAAATTTTTTTTTAATTTTAAAAAGATTTTAAATAGTAAAAGTTCAAAAGTTTCAAATTCAAATTTTTCATAAACTTCTTTTTTACTCATTTTTTATTCACTTTTCCTATTTCTAAAAATAACTTTAAAATTTTTCCTTAATAAAAATATAAACTTAGCGCTCATGAACAATACAAAAAAAAAAAAAAAAAA